TCTCTCATAGTTGAGGTATACCTAGGATGACAATTACAGGCTTCTCTTATCTTTTTAAGTGGGAGAACTTGCACAATTGGTGGCTGACTAAATACTTTTTTGCCCCACTGTACATTCAGGAGGGTAACTAAAGTACCCTCCAAATTTCCCCGAATAAGTACATATCTCCCATCTTTGTCCTTTTTTTCATATGTGCATTCGAAATTTAATTTACCGGAGATTAAGATTGTTACGCCCCTCCTGGATCCCTTTCTGTAAGAGGATGAATATGGACTGAAGTTCCACTTTTTAAGTTTTTGGTGTTCCTGTTCTGTTAGATGAGTCTCCTGCAGGAGGGCTATTTCTGCTCCAACTCTTTTTAATTTTGACATTACTTTATTCCTTTTAATTGGATTTCCCAGACCGTTCACATTGTATGTAATTACTTTAATTGACCCTTTACTTTGCATGGTGATTATTTGCCTTTATTTTAAATCCATGAGTTCCTACATTTAAATCATTTCTCGCATCCCCTGTTGTATATACAACATTAATAAAATCCAAAACTATAACCAAAAAAAGTATAACAAAGTAATATCCACAAACATAAGTGACATTGACTTCCAGGTTTAAGGCCACATATTGGGCCTTGGAGTGTTGGAGTGTGGAGGGAAAGTCTCTTCCTCTTAGTGATGGAAGGGGGCCCTCTTCAGCCCTTAAGCTGATACTATGGTCCATAGTATACAGAGAGTAGCAATCCGACCCAAAATGTGGCTCACATGTGCCCGTGATATAAGCCTTCTATTCAATTTGATCTCAACCTTTGGGTAGGGAGAAAAATAATAGTAGTAAAGGCAAGGAACAAAGAGAAAAAATAATAGTCTCAGTTGCCTCAAAATAGCTGTATTGTTGATGTTTCTTTTTAACCAAGATTTTCAGAAAGGAGTATCCATTAAAGAGGGCGTTTATGAAACATAGGCTACTTATCAGATATNCAAAATGTGGCTCACATGTGCCCGTGATATAAGCCTTCTATTCAATTTGATCTCAACCTTTGGGTAGGGAGAAAAATAATAGTAGTAAAGGCAAGGAAAAAAGAGAAAAAATAATAGCCGATGTTTTTCATCTCAACCACTAGAGGTCACTGTAGGATCATGCTGTGCTTTGTATTTGCGGGCATTTTAAAATCACTTTATATTTTCATTCTATTAAATCTTCACTAATCATTCGGTCATGTTTACCATAAGGTGCCAAATATGTTTTTATTGGACAAAAATGGATTCAAATGCAATGCAACTACTTAATACATTACGAATGATTTCAACATGGCATTAATTGCATGTTTCAATACAAAAACATCCATAATATCTTATTAATGCTAATACACCACTTTATGTATTTTAATAATAATGCTTTAAATCTATATCACATGATTTGTATGGTTTGAGGTTTCTTACTTGATTAGTTTGCATTTAATATGTTTTAAGTGCAATGCGTGAATAAGAGTAACAATGAGCGCACACTGAAGCTGGAGAACAGACAGACAGCTGAAGCAGATCTCACATGGCGCTCAGAGAAGATGGCCGCATGTATCTGTCGTGCTCTGTTCCTCGGGAGGGCAGCAGTAGGAGCTGGAATGTCTCCAGACACAGCTGGTATTGTATAGGCAGAAGCGAACAGACAACCATGAAAAACAGGAAGTAGATGGTGGGGGAGGGTCAGCAGCAGCCGCCCCTCTGGTCCCCTGCATAGGGCCCGTAATGGGAGTAATTCAGAGGGCCCCGTCTGCTCCCAGAGCTGCGTGTCAGAGATCATGGGCCATAACTCATCATGGATGCTCGTCTTTGTTCGCCTCCATGGCTTCTCGGGCATCCTTTCATTTCATTTTATTGTTTGCAATCTCAGATTAGTTCCATTGACTTGAGTAAGATATGGCCCCACAATGCTACATATTTCACACACAAAAAAAGGCAAGTGTTCGGAGCATAGTTAATTATCTTTGTTTTGGTCTTGAGAGCTGCTTGTTAATCAATGGTTAAAGCCGACGGAGGTTTATCGTTACTGAGCTTATTAGGCTCACCTCCTCCTTCTCCTACTGTACATTAAATGACTTTTTCTCTCCATCTTAGACTACAACACATCCTTATTTTATTTTTAATAACTGCATGTGACACTTGTGTTTGACTCTTGTACACAACCCCCAAAAAATAAAGAAGAAGGTAGCAGGCTATTATCATTAATAGTCTACAGATTTGGTATACTTTATTGCAAATCTCAATATTTAATGTTATTTTGGTCTTTTATCTCCTTCTATTTTATATTTATGTTTCCTGTATTTTAGTTGTAAGAAAATGCAACTAAAATGTAATTTAAAAAAAATATTTATTCTTGCACTATACTTGTATATTGTATTTTGCATTGTTGGAGGAGTCTCGGATTTAAGATTGAATAGCCAAGACTACGCTGTAGCTGTTGTGCAAATGATAATAATAGCTTTAAATTGGAATTTGTTGTGGAATACAAGTATCATCTTTAAATTACATGTACTCCGTCCATTAAAAAAAATGCTAGCATAGTTTCTGTATAAATTGGTTTGGTTTATGTTGTGGACTATTCTCTGGTTCTGTAGCCCCCCTTACACAAAAGGGTGTAATCTGGCTTTACCTGCTGCTCCATATGGGAAGGTTGCATTCACTGCATGGGAGGAATCCACTTAGTAAGAGAGAAGGATCTATCTGCCTGCAGCAAAAGATACATATTACACCACCTTGACCCATGGTTGCTTCACGGGGCGTAGTAACAACACACAACTTCTCTGTTCCTGGTCTACAAGACTTAAGCAGCTTCTATTTATAAGTTGTAAAGTGCGTTTGTGAAGAAGATACATGATAAAGTTGCCTTCTGTTAAAGAGTCTTTGGATGAGGTCACCTTTACCTTCAGCCTGTCACCTTTCCCTGGGGATTAAGCCAATGTCCCTGTTCCAGGTTCCTGAGACAATTCCAACTGAGGTCACTTTGCGTTATAACTGCTCTCTGTGTACATCTTGTCTGTTTGTCTTCAGAGGTGGAAGAAGTACTCAGATATTGTACTGAAGTAAAAGTTGCAGTAACAAAGTGTAGGAATACTCTGCTACAAGAAAAAGTCCTGCAATAAAAATGTTATTCAAGTAAAAGTAAAAAAGTATTAGCAACAAGATATACTTAAAGTCCCAAAGCGTAAAAGTAGTCATTGTGCAAATTGGTCCATTTCAGAATAATATATATGATATGTTTTATAATTATTGATCATTAAAGTGTTCTCTGTTTGTTTGTTTTTTGTTTTTTTTGGTCTGAGATAGGAATGTCTCTTTTTGTTATTGTAATGTCCATGTTTTGTGTCTGTAGCCTGTACAATAAATACAAATTTAAAAAATTTTCTCAAAGCTGGTAAAGGTGCAGCTAGTTTGAATGACTTTGTATACTGCAGGGTAGCTTGTGAATTTACTCCAGGTGGAACTACAGTCTGATTTAACACTTGATTATATTTCACATCAGTCATCCAAATCTGTAAAGTAACTAAATATATTAAATAAATGTACACAATTGAAATCTGAACTGTAGTGAGGTAAAAGTACAAAGTAGCAAAAAATGAAGTCCT